TAGGGTGTCTTGTGAGCGTCCTGAGGGCCTCTTGGGAGCCTCTTATGGGCTCTTAAGAACCTCCCAGGGGTTCCTGCGGACCCCTTAAGGCGGATAACTCGAAATGTTGTGTTGAGCACTCTCTCTGAACCCAGATGGGAGCGTTCTTGAGACTGTCTTGGCTCGTCTTGGAAGCCTCTCGGGCCGTCATGCAGCTATCTGGGGTTTTATTGGGGCCCTCTTGGGAGTATCCTGGGCTCTCTTGGGAGGGATCTGGGGAGCCTCTGGAGCTGTCTTAGAGCGTCGGCAAACCGAAAAAATCGAGCCCGAGGCGCCCGAGGCGCCCGGGGCCCCCGAGGCGCCGAGGCGCCCGAGGCGCCCGAGGCGCCCGAGGCCCCCGAGGCGCCGAAGCGCCGAAACGCCCGAGGCGCCCAAGGCGCCCGAGGCGCCCGAGGCGCCCGAGGCGCCCGAGGCGCCTGAGGCGCCCGAGGCGCTCGAGGCGCCGAGGCGCCCGAGGCGCCCGTGGCGCCCGAGGCCCCGAAGCGCCGAGGCGCCGAGGCGCCCGTCTCGCCCGAGGCGCCGAGGCGCCAAGGCGCCGAGGCCGCCCGGGGCGCTGGAGGCGCCCGAGCCCCGAGGCCTCGAGGCGCTCGAGGCGCCCGAGGCGCCCGAGGCGCCGAGGCCCCGAGGCCCCGAAGCGCCCGAGGCGCCCGAGGCGCCCAAAGCATGCGAGTCGCCCGAGGCGCCCGAGGCGCCGAGGGGTGGAGGCGCCCGCGGCGCCCGAGGCACGGAAGCGGCGCCCGCGGCGCCGCGCCGGAGGCGCCCGAGGCGCCGAGGCGCCCAAGGCGCCCGAGGCGCCCGAGGCGTGGAGGCGCTGGAAGCGCCCGAGGCGCCCGAGGCGCTCGAGGCGCTCGAGGCGCCCGAGGCGCCCGAGGCGCCCGAGGCCCCGAGGCGCCGAGGCGCCGAGGCGCCCGTGTCGCCCGAAGCGCCGAGGCGCCGGAGGCTCAGAGACCCCGAGTCGCCCGAGTCGCCGAGGCGCCCGTGTCGCCGGGGGCGCTGGGGGCGCTGGAAGCGCCCGAAGCCCCGAGGCCTCGAGGCGCTTGAGGCGCCATAGGCGCCCGAGGCCCCGAGGCCCCGAAGCGCCCGAGGCCCCGAGGCCCCGAAGCGCCCGAGGCGCCCAAACGCTCCGAGGCGCCCGAGGCGCCCGAAACGCCCGATGCCCCGAGGTGCCCGAGGCGCCGAGGCGTGGAGGCGCCCGAGGCGCTGGAGGCGCCCGAGGCGAGGGGTCGGGGCTCTTAATGGCCCAAGGGGGCACCCAGTGCAAGTAGAAGTCGCCGCCGTAACCACATGCTCAAGGCACGACACAAAGACCTGCCTGCTCTCACGCAAAACATGGCATGACTGCACACGAAAGCAGCCGTCCTGGCCGGGCACCTGCACCAAATCGGCAAAAGAGGCACATCGAGCGTGAGCTCCGCACACCCTGATCGCCTGAGATGGTGTGGACACCGACCTGGCCGAGTTCGTCTCGAACAGAGGCGGTTATCACCACCCAGGTGGGTACAAGCACGGCGAGTACAACTCAACCATTGTGGCTGAATGCCGCCATGAGTTCGAAAGATTGAGTGTCGACGTAACCACAGAAAATCAATCCCACCAGCCCTGTGGGCGTCGGTGGTTCAGGGAGTTTCCTCTTCCACCCCTCCTTCTTCCCCTTCGGGGAGGGGTTTGCCCCTCCCCTTACCCCTTCCCCATGGACCTGGACAGGGTGTTTCGCGAGGTGTCGGAGCGTCTAAGATGGCCCAAGTTGGCTCCAAGAGGGCCTCAGGGAGCCCTAGATAGCCTCCAAGACGGCTCAACATAGCGCAAAATGCCTCGAAAAAACTCCAACGATGCTCCAAGACGCTCCAAGACGGCTCCAACTGTCCAAAAGAGCTCCCCAAGGATGTCCCCAAGAAGCTAACATGCTTCAGAACCCTCGGGAAAATCAATGTTTTTGGCGTTGTCGCCTTTGCGCTTACAGTGCCCATCCGAGGCTTCAACATAGCTCCAAGATGGCCCAAGACAGCCCCAACAGGGGCCCATGAGAGTCACAAAACGGCCCCAGGAGCGCCCAAAAGCGCTCCAAGAGGCGACTTCGGGTGCTCAAGAGGGGCGACGCTAAATGAAGCTTCCCCCTTCAGTGATCGATGTTCTCCAAAAGGGCCTCAAGAAACGTCTTGGACCTCCTCTTGGGCCCTGCGTGCGGGCGGGCGGGGCGCCGCATGCCCGCCCGCAGGGCCAAAGAACCCACCAAAACGCCCCAAGAGAGCTCCAAAACACCACCAGGAGGAGGAAGCGGAGTAAGAGCAGGAGGATCAGGAGGAGGAGGAGGAGGAGGAGGAGGAGGGGGAGGAGGAGGAGGAGGAGGAGGAGGAGGAGGAGGAGGAGGAGGAGGAGGAGGAGGAGGAGAACAGCTGCCGATGGTCGGCGCTCTTCGTTCGAGAGCCTGGTGTAGGATGGGCTGGTGGGGATACTTTTTTTTGTCAGCGGCCGCAGGCGAGCGCGCCAGCGGCGAGTCCAGTCAAAGCGGGGCACGCAGCGACACACATTCACCTAAAGCAGCGGGGCACAGCCTCACCTAAAGCGGCTAGGCGGAGCCTCGCGCAGTACCTCAGCGGCGGACCGGCGAGTGGAAGGGGCTGGCTGAAACTGAGTAGTACTGTCAGCGTCAAGGCGTCGGAAGCGGCAGGTAGTCGGGAAGAACGACGACCAGGGACAGAAGCCGAGAAATTATTGCAAGGGCGCGGTGGCCGCAGCCAAGGAGGACCGACAGTCGGAGGTCGAATTGGTGCCCGGTGTGGGCGTGAGCGTTGGCAGGCTGCGAGGAACCAGGGTGGCCGAAGCCGCAAAGCCCGACGGCAGCAGAACGCACGAGTACGAAAAGCAGCCAAGCTGCCGCGCACCAAAATGGCGCGGGTCGCCACGAACAAGTGCATGAGGTGGCGCCAGTAAAGTCGCACACCAAGAGCCCTGAAGAGGGACTGGTGGGGATCCGCGAAGCGTCAAGAATTCTTCTCCTACGGCGGGTTCGCGCTGCGATGACGTCGGCCTTGGTTTTTGAAACCGAGTGGACCCTTCAATCTTGAACGATCGAGGCTTTCCGACAACGCGGATCTGTCGATTTCGGCTTGCTCCGGGCCGCTGGCGGCGTTCAACCTTGAGCGCCCGCGCTGGGGTCGCCACCGGGTCAACGCGGCGCGAGAGTACCGCAGGATAATGAGGGGGAACGATTTGAGGGCTCGGGGGGGAAACATCAAGCTGGACACATCCTGACAGATCGGCGATAGGACCCCAATAGCGAAACCGCACGGTCCTGGGAAGGGTGGGCTGCCAGTCCCCTGTCGGCAATGAACTGGCGACTGGGGGTCGATCCGTTCCCCCCGAGCCAACCCCCCGAACCTCGGGCGCACGCAAACGTGGAGTAGGGATCTGTGAAGCCAACGCCGCCTGATCCACGGATCGGGAAGGCATCCTCTGAACTGTGAAGCCAACGCCGCCTGATTTGGCGACCGAGCGCGCCGCCCCGAAATTACGGAAACGGCAACCGCCACTAATCCACGCGCTTCGATCCATCTCTGTGTCTCCTGGATTGCTGTCCCACATGTTTGCCCCTGCTTATCAAAGCCGTCCACGACGACAAAAACTGACCGAACCGACAAAGAAACCGAAACCGACCGAAACCGACTCAAGCCGCAAACAACCCAGAAAAGGCGCAACTGACGCGGCAACGACGCGACAACGGACCGAACCGAATCGATCGAACGCAACCGACTGCGACGCAGCCGAAGAACCGCGAACGCCCCCAAGAATGGCACGGAGGCGGCCACTCTCCCCCGGGGGCCTTGACAGTCTGTGCTTCGTTGGCCGTGACGGCGCGCGCCGATTCCGCGCGAAGCAAGATCCGTCGCTAACCCGCGCGCCTTTGATTCATACTTTGAACGCCTGAAAACCGACCCCCGCCCCACACACGAGGAACTTTAGACCAACTAGACCGCGCGCGCGGGCCCCCCCCCCGCGGCAGCTGGCAATGGCCTCGCTGACAGGGCGCCTACAGTTACGCACATCCGCCAGCATTGCATAACGTTGACATGCAACATCCATTGTTGTGGGGGCCGCGGCCAACTGCCCATTGTTCATGCTCGCCCCCTACAGCCATCGTGCTACCATCGGAGGCGCTGCATGGGAAGCGAAGGGGCTCGTCTGGCCACGCGAGGCCTCGGCCACAGACGGGCTCCCCGACCCAGACCTGAGGAAGCCCGAAAATCAGATCTCCTCCTGGTGAACGTTCTCTTATTCGGCGCTTCGACGTTGGGCAGAGGGGGGGGGAGAGGTGGGGGCTCTGGCTCTGGACCTCTGCTTAGTGCGACTGGTTGCAACAGTGCATCCTACGGGGGAGGCCTTCACCTGCTTGAAACAGGCGCCAAACACACCCAAGCTCTACTCCATGTGGGGGGGAGGGGGTGCGAGGACCCGCGCCGATCGGCAAAACAATGCATCAGAGAACCATCACCTCCTGAGCCCAGAGCTGTCTGTTGTTTCGACGTCTTGGCCATACCATTGGTTCCGACTGGCGCGGTAATGGCCACTTCTAGAGGAGCAGCACCCGGCATACACATCATCTTTGGGAGGTCCGAGCGGATTTCTTGGATCGGCGCTGGGCCCCCCTGGCGGCGCCTCCAGGCGCTGGACCCCGCTTGGATCGGCGCTGAACCCCTCCAAGGCCGATCGAGGAAATCTGCGAGGACCTCCGAAAGATTAGGCTCATGCAGATTGTTCTTCGAACTTCCCCCCCGATGAGCCCCCCCCGAGGGGGGGGGAGAAGCTCGAGGGGCCGTTGACGACCTGCACCTGGTGGAGGAGGGGGATGATGAGGAGGATGAGCACGATGCCGAGGGGCCTCCTCTTCCTCTTTCCTCTTTGTTCTTCTTATTCTGCTTCTGCTTCTGCGTCTTTTTCTTCCTCGAGCTTCCCCCCCAGGAGGCCTTGACGATCTGCACCTTGTCGTCCGCCGAGACGGCGGCGGCCATCTGCTCCATGCCCTGGCGCCGCGGCGGCGGACAGCCGATCGGTGGGCGGCCATCGAGCGCCTCGGTGTCGCCATCGTCGATGTCGTCGCCGTCGTCGCCGCCGCCGCCGCCGCTGTCATTTTCGTCGTCGTTGAGGCAGGGAGGGAGGAACGAGGACAGAATGCCTCAGAACGGTGCCCTCGGACCCCAGGATCAGCTCCCGCTCGCCTCAGCCTCGACCCCGTCGCGTCGGGCGGCCGCTGGCCCAGGGTGTCCCTATCCCACCCCTCCTGCTCCTCCTGCTCCTGCTGCTCCTTCCTCTGCTCCTCCTCCTCCTCCTCCTCATCCTCTTCTTACTCCTGTTTGACGTTGGTCGAACTCTAGGCATGATACTCGCAGCGTTCGTCGTCCTCCTCCTCCTCCTCCTCCTCCTCCTCCTCCTCTTGCGCCTCCTCCTCTTACCTCTCCTCCTTCCTCCTCCTCCTCCTTCTCCTCCTCCTCCTGTGTGACGTTGGCCAGACTCTAAGCATGATGCTCGCAGCGTTCGTCGTCGTCCTCCTCCTCTTCTTCCTGCTCCTCTTGCGCCTCCTCCTCTTTCCTCTCCTCCTCCTCCTCCATTTCCTCCTCCTCCTCGTCCTCATCGTCGGCGATGTCGGTGTCGTCGTCGATGCGTCGCCGTCAAGGAGAAGGATACACGATAAGACAAGCCATCGCAATAGAACAACAATTCGAAATCGACCGAGGATCGAAACACCTCTGCGCGCTGCTTCGGCATTATTTGTGTGAACGATCCACTCTGAAAGGTGGATGCTCGCGACTGCCATGAGGCGAACGCTTCCTGCTCGCGGCCTCTGTCTTACTTCTGGCCATGACGTAGTCCAAATACATATTTGCAAGACACCTGCAACCTCCACGATCAAATTTACTCACAATCGAATCGAACCCGTCCGACCATGACACATCCTTGCTGCCACCATCTATAATACTTTGGTAGCCTTGTGCCTGAGTGGCCACACCTGTGGACGACACCCCGAGCTTCCAGTCGTGATGATATATGTAGATACCTCTGGATGAGAAAATCACCAACTGCAGCTCGTCAAACACGGAGACCTGTTGGTTGTGCCCCCTCATCTCAACATGCGAAAACCTGACCGCCCAGACAGTTTTCCGAACGCACCAGACGAGCTGTGAAGATTTGCACTCCACGCGAACTCCATCTCGCATCCAATCATACGGTGCTGCGTGTCCTGCGGAACAGGACGAGCTCTGAGGCAGTATACAATCAACCTCTTGAGCCAATCTCTGAAGGACAAGCCCTCGAACTGTCGGGCTCAAGCTTGTCAACGGACAATTACTGTACACATACTGCATTGTATGCAAATTGTGGTTCAAAATTGCAGTGCTGATTCTGTAGTCCTCCAGCGGTAGGTCGACAAGGCGCTCGCAAGCGTTAGTTCCTGCATCGAGCTTTGCGAGAATACTTTCAAGGCCTGTCCTCCAACACATTGTCTTGCCGCTTGTAGTCTATATGACTTGGCCCCGTGATGGCGTTACTATTCCTGCAATGCTGAGTCCAATAATCAGATCGTGCTGGTAAATTCGCCGGCCCAACGGGCCAGAAGCGTGCTAAAATCTCTGGTAACTGCTTTACAATCTTTCTACTTCGCGCGCGCGGGACGGCCCCTGGGGGTTCCCGGATGAAAAGTACACCGGCCCATGCGGGTCAGAGATGTTTTTTATTCTGGTCGTCGCCCTTCAGGCGCTCCAGAGCACGCCAAGAGGGCCCCCGAAGGCCCCCACGACGGTCCAAGAGGGCTCCCAGTCGTCGAGCGATCGGTCCAAGACGCCCAATGTGGCCTTCCCATGGCCCAAGACGCTTTTCAAACGCTCTAAGAGGCCACCTAGAGCACTCCCAAGAGGGCCCCTGGAGACAAAAAATAATGGATTTCCTTTGATGTTTCATGGATTTATCGCCCCGATACGGCCCAGACGCCTCCAAGAGGTCCCCAAAACGGCCCCACAGGGCCCGAAGACAGCCCAAGAGCCCTTCAAGACGGCCCAAGAGGCCCCCAAGAGAGCTCCAAGTGCAGGTCCTGACGAGGCACCCGGACGTGACATTCCAGCTCTCGGCGCCGAGAGGGCTCCAGAAGGTTCAAAGAAGCCCCCAAGAGGCGGCTCGCAAGAGGCCCAAGAGGCCTCCAAAGTGCCCACGGAGGTACCAAAAATACCGCCAAGGGGCCCCCGAGAGGCCTCCCAAGAGACCCCCAGCAGCCTCCCAAACAGGCGCCTTGTCCACGGTCAAGTTTGGCCCCCAAATGCCCCAAGAAGCGATCGAGAGGCCTCCTCCTCATTCTCCTCCCCCCCTCTTTTTCTTTATCCTCCTTCTCCTCCTCCTCCTCCTCCTCGTCCTCCTCTTGCTTCTCGCTCGCCACGAGTACCGTTGACGATTTTGACCCACAACGCACGCACAACGGTGGGACGGGTTCCAGACGCTCTTCAGCGCCCAAGATGCATTCCAGATGCCCAAGATGGTTTCCAAGACGGACCTGGGAGGCCACCAAAGCCGCCAAGATGACCGAATATGCCTCCAAGATAGCCGAAGAGGCCAAGAGGGCCCACAGAGACAAACTTCAGTGATTTGGATCGTGTTCTTCAATAATTTTCACGCTATCGCCTCTGTGAGCAGGGGCCCCCAAGACCGCCCCAAGACGGCCCCAATGGCCCCGAAGAAATCCCAAGAAATCTCGAGACGGCCCCGAAATGGCCAAAGAGGCGACCAATACAGCCCAAGAGAGCCCCCAAACGCCCCCAAGACAAACCCAAGAGGGGGAACACGAACCGACAATTCGAGCCTTGCGCCTGAAGATGTCCCCAGGAAGCCCCAAAAAGCTTCCAAGGCGCGCAATATGAGCCGGCGGAGTAAGTGAAACGATTGAAAGTAAAGCCAGCATGGGTAATTCAGAACGAAGACGAGATGTTCAGCAGAGAACACTTAACAAACGAAAGCTGGAACGCCCACCTACATTTTCGGTTGTAAAAGACATCTGCGAAATCTTGCATTCAATGCGCCGGTCATTGCCGAGCCAATCGCACTCTGCCTGGCACTGAGGTCTTTGACTCCCATCGACGTACAACCCAGGAAGAGGATCTGTTCTCCGCTTCCCATGTTTCAGATAACCCATGACAGCGCGCGCAACAGTTGCTAACACATCACCTCGGGACTTGGGCGTGAATTGCGCGAGTGGTGACCCCTGGTGCAAGTCAGCAGCTTTCGGCGGAACTATTTTCCACGAGCAACTATCACGCGAAGGGGGTAGTAAGAGGGAGCAGGTAACTCTCCTGTTTTGCACGTCTGTGCACCTCATCGCCGTCTCGTTGAAAGGAGCCCTGAACAAAAAAACATATCATATGGCGATGGCTCCGTGGCTGCGTCAGTCACTGACCGCGGGGTGTGCTGACCGAAAGCGAGTCGACATCGATCAACATCAAGTATGCGGAAGCGACCGGCGTCAAATTCTCGGAGCGAATTCTTGAATCGCGCTGAGCCGTACCAGAAATCGCGTGAGCCAAGCATGAGCCAAAATGGCTACGGGGCGCGCTGCTGCGGCAACTGGTCCTCGGCCTGTTGGGTACAATCCGTGCGGCCCCAACAGGGCTCCCCCTTCGTGAAGGCGAGCCTTCCCCTTTACCACTCCACCCGTGGAACAGAAGGACCTTTCCCCGTCATCCCTTCGCATCCCCTCATCGTATCCTCCTTTCCTGGTCATGTTTTCGTTCGCGCTCGTAGTCATGCCCTTTCCACGCACACCCCCCTGGAGACTTACCTAGACTGTGTCGACGACGCGCTGCTGACAACCAGTACAGAAATTACAACGCGTCACAATATTTACAATCCGATCCACAACATACGCCCTGTATGCTGAGCATGTGTACCTTCTCGCCTACATGCGTGCCGTCACCAATCCATTCTGCCCTTCCATAGCGCATGCATATGTACATGTATATGCGCGGCATACTCTTTAGAGTCAGGTTCCCCCTTCCGTATCGGAACGCACATCTGCATGCATGTGCATGTATATGTACGTACATACATTTTAGCAATGCTTATACACAGCTTTTTTATATATACCAATACGACCACCCTTCGGGTGATAAGGAGGTTCGGGGGGGGGGGGAGGAACCAACGTCTCACTCGATCGGTCTCACTATCGATCTCACTATCGATCTCACTATCGTTCTCGCTCGATCGATCTCCCTCGATCGATCTCACAATCGATCTCACTCGATCTATCTCACAATTGATCTGACTATCGATATCACAATCGATCTCACAATCGATATCACATTCGGTGTCACTATCGATCTCACTATCGATATCACAACCGCTATCACAATCAACGTCATCATCATCATCAACAACAACATCAACATCATCACCACCAACATCATCATAATCGGGACACCGTCCTCATCATCAACACCAACATCATCATCATCACGGTCATCAACATCATCGGGGCACCACCGTCATCATCATCATCATCACCATCATCACAATCACCATCATCAACATCATCATCATCAGCAGCTTCGGGACACAGTCATCGTCATCATCATCATCCGCAGCATCATCATCGGGACACCATCATGATCACCATCGATATCATCATCATTATCAGCATTTTCGTCATCATCATCGGGACACATCATCATCACCATCATCTCATCATCATCATCGACATAATCATCATCATCAACATCATCATTCGCATCATCATCATCATCGTAATCATCGAGACACCATCATCATTACCAACATCAGCATCAACATCATCATCATCACCACCATCGGGACGCCGTCATCATCATCAACATCATCATCATCATAATAAACATTATCATCGGGACGCCATAATCATCATCAACCTCATCATCATCAACATCATCATCTTCGGGACACAATCATAATCAACATCATCAACATCAACATCATCATACTCATCATCATCGGGACACCATCATCGTCATCACCT